TCCTGGGAGGACTTTTTGATGTCGGATAGGGGTGATGACCTCTGATTCGCTTTCAGGAAAAGCTCTCTAAGAAGAACTTGATGAAAGAATGGCTCATAAGTATCAAGCTCATGATCATGGGTACTTTACACAATTGCTAATTTGTTGCTGGTGTTGCAAGGGATTCGATTTCATGGATTATTCAAGTGACGTAAACCTTTCTCTGAACTGGATTAGCTCCGCCACTTGCAAGATAAACAATGATCAAAGAAGTGGATGAATGGCGGACACGCAAGTTCCGTGAAAAGCCTCAGATCCTCGCGCTAGGCTATCCTCGACAGGATGGTCCTTTAAAGTCTCATTGATGGAAGTGAGAGTCTTTTGCTTTGGCTTAGACTCGTAAGGTCAAGGTCAGGAAAGTATTGGTTTTGATCTTTGGTCTGAATTACTATAAGTAATAATAGATAACTCAGAGCGGCTAGAAAAAACGGAGGTCTCCATGATGAACTTTGTCGAGAGGGGTTCCGTGAGTCATGTGCCACAAGGGATCAGTAACATACCAGCGATCATATTCCATCTCATTTCAAGTAGAATTAGTATGTTAAGCTGTAAAAGGCCAGCAAAATATTTTTGGCGTATACTGGGAAAAAATCACTCACAAATCAGTATAATCGATCTTCCATCTGATTTCGTGGAATTATGGTAATCAGGTCGGTCAGTGCTAAATACGGAACGCGACAGCTGATAAGCTCAGGCGTTTCTCGGTATCGTAGGCTGTACGTGCGTAAACTTTGCAGCTGTTAAAGATAAGGATTGCTCGAATGCTTTAAGAGTTCGCTACCTGGAAAGAAAGGAATAAAAATCAATGACCTGGCTTTTGGAGATGTTTGTTGCCTTAGTTTACAAGTAGAGCTCGTTTTTTTATGAGAAAAGTCATGGTAATGATGATGATGTGTAGGATGAATAATCGAAAATTAAGTGAGCTATTTTTTCTGTTTTTTTGTTAACCGGCACCGGAATATTTAATGATTGGTAGCTCCAAGGGAAATTTTTCTTCGATCGGGAAATCTTCGAATGGCGAAATCGAGCCATTACCTTGTTGATCATGGGTAGGGTACCTTGGTATTACCCTACCCTCGGATCATTCACAACATCCGATTCTTTCAGTCCAACTTGAATTCTATACCCTTCGGTATCAGTCTGTTGGTGTTGAACTGGAAGGAAGAGCATTCTGACCTGGACATTGGGCTGGAGTTCAAACGGACAAACCTATTCTAGTGCAGCTGGAATTTGAGGCGGTAGATGGATGTGTGGCGCATTATTAAGAACTTCATCATCCGATCTATCTTATCGGCCCCAGATGTGAGCAGAATGTTTACTTGGCTAGTCGTGCACTTTTGATAGTTTTTTCTGCTGTGTTTGGCAAGGACTCATGGCACGAGAGATGACGTTATTTTGGCTCTATGGAACATACTGCGAGAGGGTTTACTTGTCCTTTGAGTTCGCTTGGTCAACATCTGATAAAAAGTGGTCAGATCGAGTCATGATTTAGTGAGTCCTTCATGAAGATTGGCTTTTTGTGGCTCTTTGGTAGAGAATGACGTTTCGACAGAGTAATATTTCTTGGTACGCTGGATCATTGGTATTCAGCTGAAAACGAGCGGACTGAACAACAGAGAGGGCAGGTGCAACCTCCTTCCTCCACATTCTAGCTTGTCGGAACAAGGGGCGTATGTGCACCGGGAAAGAGGGATCGTGCATAGCCCATTTTCAATTCTAGTCGAAACGTGACTGCGTGGCGCATTCCAGAAGGTCAAACGTCATATTCTTTCTTTCCGTATCGTTCCGCCTTTGATTTTAGATCATGTATCTGTTCCTAAGGGGTAGGAAGTAGAAGTAGAAGCTGTTTGAGCAAAACTTCTCTTGAGGGTAAAATTCAAGGAAATGGGGCTTGAACGAGTTAGGGTGTGCGTGACAAAGTCTAATTGGTGTTAAGCCTAGGAATGGCATTCCCGGAGCTTGTTGATTCCTCAAACTGTGACAACAACTAATTCGGCTGCATAAAATTAATCTCAAAGATTGTTATGTGCTAGTTGCCATCGAGAACCGAGAAAAATAGCAGCCAAGACATTTCCGTTTTGATGTTTTCCGCCGCAAAAAAGAGCCGTTGGTCGATAATGGATGCAGTCTGCCTACTAGTGATAAGAAGCAGCTGCGTCAAGTCGTTGAGCGATTGGTGATCACCGATGCTACGCTGTGTTTCGTGGAATGTGTCGCCAGGGCACCGACAGCAGTCCAGCTAGATGTCGTCATCAAAGCCACCAGCAGCAAGATCAGCACCAAGCGGGGTCCAGCCGTTCTCTGCCAGAGGCCGCCGTTGCCGTTGTTAACACTCACCCTGCCCTCCTGTTATCGCCTCCTCTCCGTTTGTCACGCTCGTTCCGCCGTTCTTACGTAGCAGTGGCACTGCCGCCATTGCTGCTGTACTCTCGTGATCGGTGATCGCTCGTCGTGTGAACTGAACAAACCACGCCCCGCCTTCCGTACCCCTCACAGAGCGATTGGACAAGTTCCGAGCCCTCATCGGTCGGTGGCGGTTGCACATTCTATCTGTCAGGGCAGACCTAGAACAACATCGCGCAATGGTCGTGTCTAATATTATGACGCGTCATACGCTACTCGACTACAAGGATGGGTTACTGTATACGGGTGGAGGTAAGCTGTTCTGGAACTTCTTCGATGTGTGTTTGCTGATTTCTTTCTTCTGATTTTTCATGTTCTTCATAGGTTCTTTCAATAGGACCATTTACCCCTCTGTTGGTGGAAATATGTGTGGCTGCATTGAAGGGCTGAGATGAAGCTAGTGTTTTATAAGATAGATTGTACTCACCAATCTGCGGCTTTCTTTTGTTGTTCGAGTCTCTCTCGAGTCCTTCCTGGCTGGTGAAACGAGTACTACTCTTCAGGTTGCCTCATTCGGCAGTGCTTAGTGAATAGACCGTTTACTCTTGGTAGGTACCTCCGATGGGTATCTCGGATTCACCTCGGTAATAGCCAGCCCACTTCAGTGGAAACGGAAGATGGTACAGGTGGAGCTTCATGAGGCTCTCAGCTCAGAAGGGTCTTTCGAGAGGCATGTTCTGTTGAAGTCAGTGGAGTGTCTCAGTTATCTGGTGCAGAGAAAGATCGGTAGTTCCGGTCTGTTAAGATCTTCAGCAGACTACCTGAAGTCGCGCTTCTCTAAGGTCTTGGATAATGCTAGAACTTGTTTCTGCAGCTGTTCGGAATGAAACAGTAGGTCAAGGTGTTTCTGAAGGGCATTCCAATCGTACCCATTGTTCGAACATTCCCAGTCAGTTCGCAATTCGATCGCCGAAAAGTACATGGTTAATAGGCAGATTTACATGAACAAGTTTCTAAGATCGGCCATTCGTAGGTCTTTTCAAAGGGCGTAGTTTTATGAGTCATGCCAAGGGATTGCTGAATACCGAAATCTGTCATTATTGGAAATTTTGCTATTTTCCTTTAATTGTTGCTGAAGTGAATCTTGTACTGGTTTTCTGCCCTACGTCCGACTTGTTAGGAATTCATTTCATATCTCAAGGCATCCTAATCAATTATGACCGTCTGGATTAATTCCGACTTTACTTAGTGGCCTGCGGGTGGAATGAGCGATTCTCCGGAAACATCCCATGGTCTTAAATCTGCAAGGAAGCTTGTCGCTGCTTCTTTCCGGACATATAAATCAGAAATATGGAAACGTGCACTTTTCCGATGGCCAGTTTCTTGATGTGACATTTATGAATGGTAAAAATCGAAAGGGCAACTGAATTATCCTTTTGAAAGCAGCGGCAACCGACCTGAAGAGAACAGCTGCGGAGTTAGAAGGGTCGCGAATTACAAAGAACAGTGAACGGAGTTTTTGTTTCGGTTATGTTTTGGCAAAACGATCGCAGGTGCGCCTTATGATGTAATAGAGTGTTACTGGGTATTTCTCTCAATTGCTATCACAATTTCTTTGATGGTTTTCGATCAGCGAGTCAGTGGAATGTCTTAAAGGCTGTTTTATTCGAGTTTTGGCAAAAAACGACATTTCGAGGGTTCTTATGACGGAATGACTAAGCCCGGATAAGTGGGGTCTATGAGGGCAAGTTCGCTATAAGCTCATAGTTTGTAAGGTGCTAAGAGAGAAGAACATGAAGCCTCCTGCTGGATGAAATGAAAGTTTTCTGGAAGAAGGCTTTTCATTCTTATGATTCGTTTTTTTTTCTCTTTTTTCGCTTCACTTTTATGTTTTTTTCTGAAAGTGAGAATCTTTGGTTAAATCGGTTCGACTTGAATTTTGTTGGACTTATTTGCTACTTTGTAATTTTTCTTCAAATTGGAAAACGTGGTTGAAAGCCCTTCTTTCCATTGGCCGAGCTCAGTTGCAGCATATGCCTACTCCTTTACTGATTCCCGATAAAAATGGATTGACTCCATGATTTGGGCTAAGGGGAGAAAATGGAGAGCGTACGGCAGCAGTAGTATTACTGGTCCTGTTTTTCGGTTTAATCTGGGCCGACAGTGTTTTGCAGAAAATTAGAGTTTGGTTAGTAAGGCGATCTTTTTTGGAAAGTTGTAATTGTGAGGTGTCGCCCGGTAGTAAAACTTGGTCAGAACATCGTGGCGGCCCCATATTCAGAACCCTTGCGCAACTTCTGTTCCCAGAGTTCTGCAGGAGCGGCTAGAATTTTTTTACTGTACTGTGGAGTTTGTTTTTTTTTTGAGTTTTCGCTCTGGGAATTCTTATGTTCCCCTTTTCGTTATAGTTTGGCTACAGCAAACGTTATTAAGGTTGACAAAGCTTTTTCCTTATTCGTATTTGGCCAGGTTATGAGGTTGCCACCTCTTGAATGGAGCGACCCCGATTCAAGCATAACTCTGCATTTTCAGCTTACCCTCTTTTTGGCTTATGATTCCTAGAGATTTGATTCGTTTTTGTTGTAGAAGGCGAGCAAAGAGAAGTCTATGGAGCAGCGATGGTGATTCAACGAGCTTATCGGGAATACCGAGCTCGAAATACCAGTCGTCGGCAGGCAGATGCTGAACGGCGAGCCGCAGTTACTATTCAAAGTTGTTATAGGAGATATAAACAGGTTAGAGATTTCAGTTCTCAATTCTTTTTTCTTTTTTGAGACCCTTTTTCATTTTTCATTTGGCTAGACCGTTGTTCTGAATCAACCTCAAGCTGAACTTTACAGTTTTGTTACTTCAAAAAATTACACAACGCGGCCATTGTGGTTCAGAAGCATTTCCGGTTGAAAAAGGTTGGTCGTGTTTATTTTCATTTGTTGTTATTGTTTTTCTTCCACTTGTCCATTTATGTACAGTTTGAGTTCTGAATTAGTAGTTGAAGTAAGGTTGAAAAATAGTTTTTTTGTGCCTCTTCTCCAATATCCTTGCAGTTGGAACAACTGGAATATTTCAGATGAATCAAACCGAACATCCATCTTGCCCATCGACTGAAGTCCCGGAACATCCAACTTTAAATGGTCAAAGCATAAGAATTCAAGTCAGTGCTTTTACAGTACTTTATTTTTTATTACAACTTATCACATTCTTTTTATCTTTTTTGCGAACTCTCGAATTATTGGGTATGCCGTAGCCGCTTTTACTGCATGTAAATATTTCCCTCTGTTTTTCTATACAGTATCCTTTTCTATCCATAGTATCCTCTCAATTTACGCGGTATAATTACATATAGCCAGTAAAAAGAAGTTTAAAATCTATAAGGAGGTCTGGAGTTCGAAGGCTTGGGAGAAGCAGACATGTGTGACCCAAAAAAGATTTTATCTACTTATTTATTTATTTATTTATTTATTTGATCGTTTGATTTTGAAGTTTTAGCTGTTTGCACACTCGGTTGACAATTTTAGGTACCTCAAAATAGTTCATCGTTACTACGGGAACATCGAGCAGCTACCACTATTCAACTAGCCTACCGTGGCCACCGAAAACGCCAAGCAGCTGCGCGCAAAATCCAAAAATTCATGAAAGAAAGCCGTATGAAGTAAGTTTTTTTGTTAGTCTCTTTTTCTCGTCGATTTTTTTTTCAGCTGTGTAGGTGACTTAGGTTGAGAAACGTGCCGTTTTAAAGATTCTCACATTGAAGTGTGTCCTCAATTTTTTTCAAAGAATGTTTAAAAACATTCAAAAAAGTCCTTTCTCTCAAAGAATGCGTAGTTCACTTGAGGGGATGTAGCTCTAATTTTCCTCAACTGCAAAGTATAGATTCGGTTTTCAATTTTTGGGAAACCGGGAGTCGCTGTTTTTTGGAGATGGGTGCTTGGTAACTTGAAATGGGCCTATCCCTTTATGGTCTGTCGAACCCATAGAAGACACTTGCCTTTGAAATTGTACTTTTTGAAGTTGGAAAACAGTAATATACTGTCAAAATTTGGATATTTATTTAAACATATTCATGCTTATTGAAATTTCTATGTCGATTGATTTATTTTTTTTTNTTTTTTTTTCTGAAGCTCCATGGGCATTGACTCGTCGTTTACGGTGAGCCACAAGAAAGTGTCGTAAAACTGTTGTTGTATTTGTGTTGTTGTGTTAGTGATCGTAAATTGTGCTTCTTCCCGGAATCCATTAGCCAATCGATAACTTCTGAAGAAGTTCTTGTTTCGAGAACCAGAAAATTGATATAGGTCTTCACTTTCTTACCTGAAATTTGATTGGGAGATGTTTTCATATGAATTGATCCTCATCAACGATTGATCAGGGTTTATCCATGAAAAGTTATCGATTGGGAACTTCTAAATGAAAAGCTATTCTTCATGATACTTCCAAGAATTCCTGATGAAAAATCAATAATGGATTGTTCCAGACTGCGCAAGATCCAGGAGCTAAGCGACGGCGGTTTGGGTGCGGAAATGACGATACAACCATCATCGAATCCACCCCCGGCCACCGTCACAGCAACACACATGACCCCGGCTCAAATTGGAATTTCTACTCTTAGCAATTCTATGAATGATATGAACGGGTTAGTTTTAAAGTTTTGCTAAGGTTATTTCCGCAGAAAATTTGAAAAAAGGGTCTATCATTATAAGAAGCGCTGTAAATCTTCTACTCGAAATTGTATTCGGGAGCCTAATTTATCAGTCAGTCATCTGGGAGATAACGAAGGATACATTAGGAAGCAATTGCTTTTAACCCAGTTTGTGTTGTCATAACCCAAATAGTATTCAGCTATGTAAACTGAAACTTTGCCAAGCATTTTAGTGGGAATTTGTTGCCACGTACATAGTTATACATTATTGAGTGGGTATCGCGCTTATTTCGATTTTTTTCCTATATCTCCGTCATTCCTTGTTGGCTGCTCGATGTCTGGGTTTAGACTGGCTGGCTGGCTTGAATTTGAAAATCTATCTTGAAGTGGAAAAATCAGGCTTGTAATATACCACAACACTCACTTTTTCTTGCTTTCAGGAGTCGATGAGCTGCTCATAACAGGAAGACCAAAAACACGATGAACCACCTCTTCATTGCATCCTTTACTACTCATAAATTTATTTTTGTTATCACCCAACCAGTCAGGTGTGATGCTTTAGCGTTGTCGCTTTTTCTATGCATCGCTTAGCCTTGATGATGAATGAACGTCTGCGTATGGAGATGTTCAGTGTATCAATAGGATTTTGAAATATGTATTATTGTAAATTATTCTTAATCGTTTTCCATCATTACGAGGTCATATGTGAAAACATGCAAATGTTGTTATTTTACCTAAATATGTACAGAGACATTTTAATTTACAGTTTTATGTAATAAAATTACAACTCTTGTTCTTTTTTTCATCTTGAAAGTGGTGCGTTAGTAGCGCAGTAGTTACCTGTTGATATGAAGTATCAGTACAAGCGATATGTACACAGATTTCCATAGGTATAGTATAGTCCACTCGAAAATATCTTTAAAGTTCGCATCATATGGTTTTTTTCCCACATGCTTTCTCGGAAGAAATCCTGCTGTGCGAATTTAGAAGGGATTCTAGATTCGTAAATGTGCAAAACAGTGTATAAAGTGCCGGTTCTTCCAATCGTCGCAGCACTTCGTAATGAGGGAAGGATGCATGGCGTGTACAAAATGTAGCTGCATTAATGTTTGCTGCAGTTTTTGAACGCCATGAATGCGTAAGAAAGATTTGTAATGCCTGTGTTCGAGCTATAAATTGTAGACTTGAAACGGGGAAAATCTCTTTTTTGCTGTTTCCTGATGAAGGCCGAAAAGTAAATGGCTTACGAACTGTGATTGCAACTGGTGGTTGTAAGTTGGTGACTTTTAACCTAACGTGTGGTGTAGCTCATAATCGGTTAGTGGAATGGTTTGCTGCTTGATTGTGAGGGTCTGCTAAGGGCACTTCAATGGTGCTCAGCAATGAGGGCATTAGTGAAAAGTATGTTGCCGTATAGGCTCTCTTAACTCAAATTTGTTCCATCTTTGTGATTCTTTAGTGACCATTGAATTAAAAAGTAGCTCCATTAGCTTTTGAAAACCTCTTAGTTCAGTGGAAAAATCGAATTGTCAGCGTACTGTGATTGACGTAAAGAGAATTGGCAGTGAAAGTAGAGCAGTGGTTGGTTGAAGTCTCTTGTTAAACTATAGTTTGAAGGGTTGATTTTCACTACTCTGGATACCAAACTTCTCTGACGGATTGGAGTGCTGGTTCAACTATTACTAAACAGCCAAATAAGTCGTATACAAGAAGGTCAGAGTTCAGGATGGAGGACGAAATCATGCTGCTCGTTCACAACACAACAACTACCTTTGACACACCCATTTTGCCCAAACATCATACGCGTCGTGTTCGAAGCATGAAGAGAATAGGATTGGATGTAAGTTTGGTTTTTCAGAATAAATTGATGGGAATTTTTTTCAACTGAAAACCAAAATGTCATCTCTATTAATATGCTTTTGTTCACACGAGAGCAAGAGCACGAAGATGGTGAAAGGTTTGTGTGCGGTTGCGCCACAGTGTTTTTGTGTGATTGGGCATTCTTTCCCGAGCCATTCTTTGTCGTTTTTTAAACATTTTTTATGCTCCTCTGAGAGCATAGTAGGCTCGCCCACTCTCCCCACGGATATCTATCAGTCCTGTACTTTGTACTCCTGTTTGGTAAATACAACATGGATTAAGGACAGGGGGTGAGGCATTTGTCGCCGGAACACAACCATTGAAGGCTCACCTTCTAAGTTTCATTAATAAATCTGATAATCTTCGGAATAGGTGGTCTTTTGAGTTTCATTGAACAATCTGAATGCGCTTAAGGTTTCTCCAATGAACGAGGGTTCCTTGATGCACCTAAGGTTTTTACTCCTTGGAAGGAGGCGGCATCAGGTGATCGACTTCCCTTTTCGGATGCTAACGACTGGTTGGCTTGGTCGAGATAGGATCTGGGAGTTGGCTCCCGATCTAAGCGATATAGGCTGTCCTTTGTCTCTGTTTTATATCCGGTGTTTAGAGTGATGAGTGCAATTTGGTGAGAGGATGAGATTCAATTGAGTCAATTCATCAAAAGGAATCCATACAAGTTCAAGAAACAAGGCCACTTCAGTCGTACCGTGAAAGGCAGGGACTAGCTCATCTCATAGACTGCTAATCAACGTCTGGAAATCTCGTCAAGCGATTTGCAACGGCGACATCTCTCGACCCGTTCACGTTCGTCTTCCACTCATAAAGAATGTTGCGTTGAAACAGTCGACCGGTACGGGATGGCTTTTATCGCTCCCACATCCGCCTGTCGCTCGTCGACCCATGACAGGCGGAGGGTGTCCCATCGAACGAAACAGTTTGACGTCGGTCAGCTGGCTGGTTGATCCGACTACAGCAAAGTGGCCACGGCTAGCCTGATCATCAGCGTCTAGTTTTTTTCTCGTTTCCCGTTCCACTCTATCGTCTTCTTTGCTGGTTGATTGCGCGATTAATTACACACTTAGACCCACTTGGTGCAATCGTAGCCTAATATCTTGTGGTTTCTTTTTCTGAATTTTTATACTCACAGCATTCGTTTCCGCCTTTTCTTTCTTTCACCGTAGTCCTTAGGGTGGAGGGATTGCCCAAGACGGCGAGAGTTCGGTCATTTTAGGATAGAGGTAGGGACAATTATGTGTCATAAGGTCTGCGTACATTAGAGGAGGCGGATTAGGGGTGAAGGAAAATTGAACTATTTAGCAGTATATCTTCGTTCCGCTTCATCCTACTCTTCTAAAGATCTAGTTGGGGCTAGGGACCTGTGAAAGGATGTCCTCTCTTCTACAGTCCTCGTCCGTCTCCTATAAGGGTTAAAGAGGGATCGCGATGTTTTTATAGCAATTATATGGTCATCTGTCCTTGCAGTCTTGTCCAACGGTCGCATCTACCTAGTAACTGTCTTAATCTCTTCTATTACCATTTTAGTTTTCCTTGTCGTTTTTAGTTTTGATCTCATCTTACGGTTCATATCCTTATACAAACATAAGTTTCCAATATATTTTCCTGAAATTAATAGTAGTTTTTGCACTGTCAAGTTGAAGGCACAGGTTAACGATAATTTTGAGCTATCCGTTTTCATTCGAAAAGCGGAAGTACAGATTGGGAGTGGTTTATCGGCAATGAAGAAAACGAGAGAATTCGCCGATTTCGAAAAAAATATGGCTCCTCAAAAGTAGGGAAAATATAGGTTGGACGAGATTGCCATGACGGAAATAATATGGAAAGNCTAGTCGGACGAGATTTCAGTTACTGCAATTTCACAAAGAGCTAACAACTTCACCCCAGAACTGTTCAGAACTGTCACTGTCGCTATGGGTAATGATAAGTTGTTCTAACTTCCTACATGGGTTCCCTTAAGTTCAGTGCAGCCTCCATAATGCTGGTGAAACTCGTCCGAGGATACACACGGGCCAATATTTGAGCCTTTATAACTCTCTAACTAGGCCGTTTTCCGACCCAATAGTGCCAGTACTCTCGAGGGCCTCAAATTCATCCTATGGGAGGATCTCAGAAACCATTTTCATCGTGAACTGTGCTTTTAAGTTACTCAAGTTACAATACAAACATCAGCCGTCGTACTAATCTTCTAACGAGGTTTTGAAATGATTGAGGGGATCTTTTCTGCCTTGCCCTACCATTAGCCGTTCGCTGGAAGTTTCGCTGGGAGATCGTGAATTACTGAAAAATTATTTTTTCTACATCGGCCTTGTCATTTGGGATTCTAACAGAACTCAGTGAGATCCAGAAGTTTGGTTCCAAGCTGGGTTGGTGAATTGCATCTGAGTGATTACTAAAACAGCAACTACTAGCTTATTATAACACGATACTCGTTAAAATTGGTGACGGGGCATTCATGTCGTCGGCTTCATATTCGCAATAAATTCCTCGAAAATCATTCATGTTTTCGAATTCATGTCTTATCCTTGCAAGACCCTCAGTTTTGGCCTTCACCATTAGTTGATTACATAAAAAATCCTACACTTTTATGTCATCCTGTCTTGAAGGTGTGTGTTAACAGTTCAGAATTATACAGGGATCAAAATATTTTTCAGACCCCAAGACTGCTAAACAAACGGAATCTTCAATCGTTTACTTATACGGCTTCATCAGCTCTTTACGCTATCGGAAGCTTTTATAATTTCTTTCTTTTCTGAATTCATGGCTAACTCTTGTGCGAATCAGCACTATTGGCATTTTCCCAATTGCTAATACCCATACCCTTGTCTGTACCTGAATTCCATCGAGGATGACAATGGCTCACACCTATGTAAGAATTATGGCCTTTGTGGAGACAATACCAAAAATTGATCTCACAGTATTCATAATAATTGCACAGAGGAAGTCCAAGTGCAACTAGTCTTTCATAAGAAAACGTTTTTTAACAGCGATGATTCTGGCACACTAAAGCTCTCTGTCCTTCTTTGGCATTCAACTCCTTATCGGTAGATCCGTTTTCTTTGCCTCTTTGCTTACATAGGAGAAATTCTAGAGTGTCACAAAGAATGGATACATTTACTCATTGAATATTTATTATATAGGTAAATGTATCTCAGTGCAATGTATTCCATTCTCTCCTATCCTATTCTATTCTAGTTAGTTCTACTATATTTGCTATTACCAGTTCAATATCATTATTATTACTACCGCTTATTATTATTGTTATTACTTACTATTCATTTTTATTACTTATTATCACTTGTATCATGTACTATTATTTCAATTCTCCTACTGTTTTCTTCGAACATTCTTCTACCCAAAACCTCAGCGTATGCTAACTTGGATGTTTTTGCTTTTGGTCTTGCGGTTGGCCCACTGCCGTGGTAAAAGGCCGGTAGCCGCTGAGCCACCTTCCCAATCCGCACAGTATATGTTGAAGGAAGTTCGATGAAAAGTGATTAATAATTGAAAATCGAAATTCGTTAGCTCTTATCTGGCTCGCCGCTCTTTTTCTTGCCTCTGAAACTATTCTTGACTAATAAGCAGTATACTGTGATTTTTTGGTTCCACTTTTTCATTCCATTTTCTCCATTTTCTGATATTTTGGTTGGATTGTTCTGGGGCTCTCGTTGAGATTGCAATATAAGGACATCAATATCGACTTGAGACACATAATTCATCCGGGCCCCTCTGCCTTGCCTTTGAGACCTGGATGGCAGGGTCGTCTTCCCATTACCAATCTCATCAAAACTTCTGTCAAGTATTTGACGTAGGAGCTTCTTTTGAGGAGTTCTACCATGCGCGCATGTTCCAATGGGAACCAAAAGATTAAAGACGAGTCTCAATCTACAATTTTGGAAGATTTTAATTGGAATCCATCACTGCTGTTTTGAGAAATGTCCATTATGCGAGCTTCTGAAAATTTCAAGTGGAAGTTGTACACCAACCAGCGGAAATCGAAGCGATCTGATAGATTGCGATCTTATATAGATGACATAATTCCCGGTGTCAAAGTGAAATCTTCACAGTAGTGGATACAACAGTGTTCCGTATTGTGGCCATAGTTTTAATGTAAGCAGTTAATCGCAGAAATCGCCAGGGGTGGGGACGGCGTTGAATCTATGAGAGCCCTTTGACAACCAACCGTTCATTTTTTTGAACACCTGGTTCATACAACCTTCTTTTGCATAGAAAGACCTTGAGTTGAGCGCTGGCATTGAATAGAAATCTGATACGTCCAAAGTGCATCCACTTTCCGATATTTTGCTGCAAACCACTCTAGAGACCTACAAAAAACATTTAAAACCCTAAAAAATGTCGGCTTCGGAATTGCTACTAAACTCACCCCGAACTCCTTTTTACTTTCCATTCTGCTTCTGTAATTTCTCTTCCACCTGCAGCTTTCCACTGTTGAACATTTCGTTTACATTTTTTCCAGAGCTTTGGCTGTTCTCTGAATTTTTGAACCATTTTGAAGCAGTTTGATCTTGGATCCCAATATTAAACTGCTTTATTTCAGGGGGAAGATGTTCCGACGCCTTGGTCAGCAGAACTATCGATCCGAAAGTCCAAGTGTCGATTTGAATAGATCGGTATCGCTGTCGGTACAGAGTGAAGCCTCGAACAATGATTTGGTGAGGACTCTTTACAAAACTCAATTGACTTGGTACGAAAAACAGAGGGTTTCTAATTCAGGATAACTCGTCCACAAGAATCTCTTCCGAAGCTGAAGAGGTATCGATGAAGGGAAGTATCGGAACGAACATTGAGTCTATCAGGGAGCATCGAATTGTCGAGAAGCCGGAAATAGCTATGATTATCGCTAACATCTGTAGGAAGGTACTTAAGAACATTATTTTAAAAAGAAATGATTGAGATCTCTTGTAGTTCTAACCTTTAATGAATCGCTCACTTAAATTTATCGGTGGGTCACAATGGAAAGAGCCGAAAATTCGAGCAAAAGGGGCGGGGGATTCCGCAATGTTCTTAGGTAGCAGATTATGATTGAGGCAATATAGGCAAACTTTATTGTTTCTACATTTTCTACATTGAAAAATTACAGTGCAAGGAAGCCGACATTGACTTGTAATCATTGAGATGCGCCATGTAATCGACTTTTCTTTTCAAATTTGTAGCCATTCCAGTTTTTATCTAGTACACGTAATAACTCAGCGGGAACGTTGGTAACCCAATCCACTTTTTAAAGTTGTGGGCGGGTCTGGTAACAAACTACCCAGCCTGGTAAGATGGAGGGTGAGAGGGACTGGCCAACCTCAGTGACTGTGGGTTTTTGAAAAACAGTACGGGTCATTACAAACAGCGCTTCTCAACACTGCAACATAATTCAAATAATTGACTGTTAAATATAACTGTGCAATACTTTATATTCATTATTTTTCACTTTTCAGCTAAATACTATTGTAAATCTGGTATACGAATTCTCTACGGACGCTTTGGGTCTGAGAGAAAGTGCCGATGACTTGCTGGACGAGCTTCGGGTAAGTTAGAGCTTCTCATTTGCACTTCTGTTCCTCGATTTCGCGAATCCTTCCTCTATAGTGCTCTAACAAGCTGCCTGATTTATTGCATTGAGGTCGATCCTAGAATTGATCCCAACTCATGTCGCCCTTACACAATACTTAACCACTCCGCTAAGCGGAACGTTGAGTTGCGCACCTTCAATTTTGAGTATTGCCTTGAAAATACTTCTGGCACTCATCCCCTGTGCCTCTCTATTGAATAAATAATCAAATAAACAAATGAATAAATAGACATGTTTTTTGCTAAAAATCTAAATGGGAAGCCCTAGGGAGTGTGCCTTCTTCTCGTAGCGAAGAATTCCTCCTCAGATCACCAAGTGGCTAAGATAGTTCAGTCTCTGGTGGGTTGGTTGGTTACGCAGTACCCCTGAGGAGTCATACCGTATCCTTCGTAGAAGTACCCACATGATTTAGTACCCATTCCATATCCGTAAACACTCATCAATCATCGCTTTCTCCTCAATCGGCCATGAACAGCCGCCCTTCTGTTCCGGTCCGCATTCACTGTTCCATTGCAAAATTTCGGACGACAGAATAATTGACCTTTCTCTCTCACTTGACATTTCAACGGCCACTTTCACTCATCAGCCGTCACACCTGTTTCAGACTAAAATCCGGCCATATCTCATCAATCTCGATATCGATATGCTATCCGCTGAAGCCGTACTACGCTACAATATCGATCGATCGAATATCAATGAAAATCGGATCGACTGGCTACTTACATACACCAAATATCAGGTTGGACAATAATTAATCACGGCAAGGGGAAGGGAAGAAAGTCTGCTGAGAATATTTAGAGTCGAAATAGTGCCCCGTTCCCTTTTTTCGTAGTTGGGGAGAGTGCAATCTTGCGGGGAATACGCCTGTGAGTGGTAACTAGCCAGGTAGTTGCAATCAGCGTTTCAATTACATCATACCACTTCTTCAGACCGCTGACGAAAGGCCGCTGACGTTGCGGTGTTCGTGTTTTGTCCGAATGACCGCGCTTGTTTCGATCCAGATAATCGCAAACCTAATCTGATGTTTCTAGCGAGGGCATACGTCTGAGCGACACAATTCGTGACCGAATAACAACTGCGGAAATCGTTTCATAGTAGTATTGAGAACAGAAGGGATCGTAGGAGATATTTCTAAATATCCTGAGAGTATTCCTTATTATGGTGAAGAGTAGAGTCTTCTGACGTTAACCAATCTCGTGGGTTGGGTGTTCCACGCACTCGACTTCCGTTCAGAATCGTATTATCGTTTTGAATGCGTACATGGCTATACAGTGGCTTGCGGTGACCGATGTACAAGTCAGTGCTTTAAAGCTCTCAATTGAGTCTGGTACCATTGAACCAAACCTGAAAGATGGAAAGCTTAGTTGGCTCGGGCGAGTATTGATCACGAAGTCCATCTTGGCTCGTGCATGTGGTGTAGACGACCCGGCGCAACCTGGCACTACATATCCTCCATCCTTTTGACGAAGTTAGGGATTGAAATATTGTAAAAGTAGTGTTCAGTGTCCGCCATTAGATTCTTTTGAGGTTGAATTATGGCACCCTCAAAAGAATCTACAACTTGAGGTGGTTGTCGCGTTCATCCCGCTCTCCTATGCTAGTGCCTAAATCGAAAGCTGCACCTTAGGCTCCTAGCCACCCTATTTTATCACCTTCATCGACCCCGAATGGTGCATATTGCGGATCGCTCCAAATTCATCATCTAACATTTGCTCCCCAAAATCTTAATTTAACATTCGCATCTTCAGAAGGAGATGCGACGTGTTCTGAATGAGCTAGCTAATTCGGTATGTGACGATCTCGAGGACAGTCTCGATCTGCGGCGTAGAGGTAGGCAATATCCAAAGACCAATTGAGTGAAGTTTTCGGACATTTCGGGCAGTACCGGTTCATCACGATAGTATTTTCCAGGATGCATTGCTCGGCGACCATGTTCGGAGACCATCGACAATTTGCAGGAAATGCGACGTGGAATGCAACGAGCCGTGGCGCTACTTTGTGGTGGCCCACGTTCTGTGGCCTGAGGCCGAGCACTGGCTTGAGCCAGGATTAGTCTCAGTCAAAGCCGAAGTCTAGCCTACTGCTAGCGAGTCGTACCGAAGTCATAACTACCATTACATATCTGTATATATATAGTATATAATTATTTGCCAGTATGATCTGTGTAGTTCTGCCATTTACTACACATTGCTAGAAACAACTTCTATGTTTGTAAACTATTCTCATCACATTATGAGAAGACCTCATGCATAGTTAGCAATAGTTTCTTAGTGAATTTCTTCTTCTCCGTGTACATCTGATGAGTTTTTTTTT